GAAAAAGGGTTTGCAGGGTATATATGTATGTATGTAATCTCGTAGAGACAAAAGCTGACATCACGGCCATCCAAGAAATCCATTGGACGGGGAATGGCAAAAAATTGTTGGGGCTTTGCGACGTCTACTACAGCTGCCATGTAAAGGAGCGCAAATTCGGTGTTGTATTTGTGAGATTTGTGAGAGACTCGTTCGCCGAGTACTGTCGTTAACCCCGGTGGACGAGCTGCTAGCCACAACCCGCATCTCGCTCATCATCAAAGTGGGCAAGGAAGGGTTTCTTGGCGACATTGTCGGAAAATTCAGCCTCCTCGACGAAACGTCCGATAACGGACTGAGACTGATCGACTTCGCCGGGGCCCGAAACATGGTAGTATGCAGTTCGAGACACATGCATAGAAAGATCCATCAAGTTACTTGGCTATCTCAAGATCGAAAAACGAGAAACCAAATCGATAATGTTGTGATAGGCGGACTACACACTTCCAGTGTTTTAGACCTACATACGTACACTCCGAGGGCCAAGCATCGACTCGGACTGCTTTCTTGTTGCAGTCAAGATACGCACCCGCCTTCATGCAGCAAAAAACGTCCGCCTAACAATACAAGGAAAGCACAAGTTCGAAAAGCTGCAACCACAAGAGACGGTCAATGCATTCGCCACTCGAATCTCATACCTGATTTCAGAGAGCAGTTTTCAACATGCGGACATATGCGAGCAGTGGAACCACATTTTCCGCCGCCGAAGAAGTAGTCGGATTTCAGTGAGCCCGAAGGAACAACTGGTACTATGAGAAATGTGAAGAAGCTGCAGAGAAAAAAGAGCTTTGTGGGACTACTATAAGGAACTAAAGAGGGAAACGGCACGTATTTGCCGCAATAAGAAAGAGGCCGAATTACGGGAGAACGAAGAACTTAAAATACTGGCCGACAGGAAAAACGGCCGAAAATTTTACCAGAGTGTTAGGCGACTTACGGAAGGTTTCAAGATCAGAGCGAACTCCTGTAAGAACAGCCATGGGGACCTAGTAACCGATGTCCAGAACGTACTTAAATAATGGAGGAAACACTTTTCCACCCTACTAAATGTAGCAGCACTGAAAGTAATGGAGAAGCCGAACCCGAGCCCCCAGTCGATGTTCCACCGCCTGACTATAACGAGGTACGAATAGCAATTACGCGGCTGAAAAACAACAAAGCTGCTTGACGGCCTGCCAACTGAGCAATTCAAGTACTGCGGCGAGAAGTTGATGAGATTCTTTTTCAGAATGTGGTCCGACGACTGGAATTTGAGTGTACTCTGCCCAACCCACCGCCATTCGCGCTAATTACCGCAGGATCAGCCTTCTAAGCATAGGCACCGTCAACGAACTGATTGGGCGTTATCAGTATGGCCTTAGACTTGGCGAATCCACCATAGACCAGGTATTCCAAATACGCCAAATCTTGCAAACGACCCGCGACTTCCGACTTCAAAGCCACTTTCAACAGCACTAAAACAATTGCCTATACGCCGCGATGTCTGAATTTGGTATCCCCGCGAAATTAATACGGCTGTGTAAACTGACGTTGAGCAATACCAACAGCTCCGTCAGAATTGGGAATGACCTTTCCGAGCCGTTTGTCACCAAAGGGGGTTTCAGACAAGGCGACTCCCTCTCGAATAAATCCTTTAATCTGATGTCGAAGAAGATAATAAGAGCTGCTGAACTGAACCGTTCAGGAACAATTTGCTACAAGAGGCTGCAATTGCTGGTAACAAAAACTGCGAAGTTTGTTCTGACTTTTCCAAGTTGGATAAGGTGGTAAACGAGGACAAGACGAAGTATCTCCAATCGTCAAACAAACATTCTGTAAAGTCCTATCTCAATGTACGAAAATATAAGTCGCTCATCATGCCCGTGCTGGTATATGGCGCAGAAGTATGACAATGACAACAGCCGATAATGCGGCTCTGCTGGTTTTATCATGTCGTTCGAATTAACACCGACGCTCCGGCTCTGAAAGTATTCAACGGGGAACCCGCTGGTGGTAGGAGAGGAAGAGGGAGGTCATATAAACTCAAGTTTAAAACTTTTTAAAAAGCCGCAAAAAAGTGCAACCAAGTTTCACCCAAATTTCAAACTTTTTTCTCAGAAGCGGTAGAACTTTTTTGAATACACAGTTTTATAGCCCATTCAATTTTAGTCTAATAATGTGCAAGTTTCAAGTGGCTAAAAGTTACCATTGATTTTTTAGAATTTTTTCGTTGAAGATGTGGCGGGTTTGTGCCATATAAAAATAAATTGTGTGTTGTTATGGAAGCAAATGAGACAAAAAAAATCTAAAAAATCAACGGTAATCTTTAGCGACTTGAAACTTGCACTTTATTGCACTAAAATTGAATGCGCTATAAACTGTGTACTCAAGAAAATTCTAGAGCTTTTGAGAAAAAAGTTTGAAATTTAAGTGAAAGTTTGTTGCACTTTTTTGCGGTCTTTTGAAAAGTTTAAAACATGGGTTTATATGGGTTTTGTTAGAGAATGAACTATATTTTAATTGAAAATTTTTAAAAACAAATAATTAAACATAAGTGGCGAACAATATCGCTTTTAAAGGGGGGTGCTATAGATATGTCCAATACTGTATGTATGTAATTTTCAATTTTCTTAATATTTCGATTTTCTCCTTTCTTATTTTTATTTGGAATAATCACCCGAAAATTGGGAGAATTGAGAATATTTATACCTATGCAATTTTTAAGTATGACCTTTGTATTTCTAAGAGGGGAAAGTAGAAAACAAAAATTAACCAAAATTCCATCACACTTAATGATTGGACCCATATTTTTTGCGAGTTGTAGACGTTATAGTGATCCAATCTTCCCCATATTTTACGTTTACGGTATTCTAATAAATGAGAGAGTACAAACTTAGTTTAATCGAAATCGGATAAAATTATAGTACATGTCAAGTTTCAGCGAAATCGGTGCAGGTTAACTATTATTTCCACCTGTCTCCTTATAGTCGAAACACATTCAGCCTCATTGGGTAAGTCGTAAATTAGGCTAAATTGTACGACTCGACAACATTGGCATTGTCTACTGTCGTGCTGAAATAAGCGACGAAAATCGTCGAAAACTATACAGTGCTGCCAAGTTTTTTCGTTTTAATACACTAGTCGAGTGGAAATTTTAGGCAATGACGCAAAAACGACTTGCATTCGACACGACTCTCGCAATGAGGGTGATTATGAAATTAAATAATGCAAACGAGTTAATGAATTGTTAACGTTCACTGAAATAGGGCCTACTTTGTCGTATTTGGTTTTCGAGACATTAAAGGTTGTTTGTGGTGGAAGTAAATCAGTTTAATGTTTTGCCGAACTAGCGAAATATAAGAAATTCTCGTGTTCTATAGACCTACGAATGATTTATGAGAATATGAAGCTGATTACACAGGCATATATATAAAAACTGTCCGACTCTAGGGATCTTGACTACACAACACCGGCTTTCGATCTCGGACTTGAGAACAAGTTCTCCACTGGTATCCCTTCGTGGAAGGACTAGGAGGAGGATTCGCTCTGGGGTCTCCGAGATAATTCTACAGCCGTCTACACTGATGCCTCTAAACTAAATCTAAGAGTAGGGAGTAAAATACACTTGAAAGACCTATCATTAGATCTCTGCTTTGGGTTGCCAGACCACTGCACTGTCTTCCAAACATAGCTCGCGACCATAAAAGACGCTCTTAATCTGCCTTCATTAACAATATACTCCGTTTTCCATGCAGCTATTAATTCACTGGATTGATGTGAAACGTCAAAAATGATAATAGAATGTAGAAAAGTCCTCAGCGAGTTAGCTTCAAAGAATACTAAGCAGATTGTATGGGTGCCAGGTCACAGAGGGTAACTGTAAAGCAGACGAGCAAGCGAAAAAGTGAACCAACCTGTGTGGCGTCAACTCTACACACAATGCGGGCACACCGCTTTCTACCGGCAGAACATTGCTTAAAATATACTTTTTCAGAGACGACAAATGAAAGATGGTCGGAAGAACCCACGTGTGGGACAACTCGACAATCTAACGGAACCGACGCGTGCATTCTAATATTGGCAAAAGTTTATTTTTTTTTGGCATAAAACCTAACAAATTTTATTCGGTTCGAGGCACTATATCATATAGCCGTTATATACCCGATCTGGCAGAATTCGTTGTATCGACTTAAAATTCGGTTTGTGTACGTATTATGGAGTTCTTAGTTGATCTACAATTTTTTTTTTTTTATTTAATGTTAAGCTAGTTTTCTTTCGCTGTCAGCGACAAAAGAGCAGCGACAACATGAAAAACATCATCTTTTTAAAATGAAACATTCCGGCAGGTTCTGCAATTCACTTCCGAGTGAATTTGAGGTAAGTGCGCTTTGAATTCAAGTTGGTAGGGGTTGAAATTCACTCGCAAGTGAATTGCAGAACCTGCCCGATTACTTTGTTTTAATTGAAACTTTAACGTGGAAAACACGTACTTAAATTTCATTTTATGTATTTTATTTTTACAAAATTTTTGCCACACAAAGATCAACTAAGGAATAAGTGTAATATATTTATTCCCACTGGGAGAATATGTATGCATCTTACGAGGTAATCCATGTTTAGTACCAAAATTGTCACCACGCCCAATGTGATCTTGTAAAGCGCAAAAAGCGACAACGCCTTACGTTGTAAGTTGCAAAATGCAGGCAGCCGCTTCAACCTAACCTAACCTATTATATTGATTTCATTTCTACCAAAAAATGTAGCCTTTTGATTGCCCCTTTCTCTTTTCGTGTCCGATTCTAAATGAAAGGCAAAGGGTGAGAAAATTTTGTGTTCGTTTTTTAAAATGTCACACTCTTTTTAGGTAAAAAGGCACAATACTGGCAAAAATTGCCCTTTCTTTTCTCATGGACACATACAATTAAAGGCGGCTCAAACAGAATATTTATATGTATGTAGTACATATATGTATTTCCACCTACCTTAAAGCTCATTTGTACGTTTGGCGGATTGTTGATAGCGGGCATTTGCATAGCTTTAGTATTTTCTGTTGTTGCTGCTGTTGTTGTTTTCTCATTATTTTGTTGTTTAGTTGTAGTTTTATTTTTTCTTTTCGTATATGTGCGTTTGGTGCGTTTGTAACGCCTAGGCCGACAATTGAGAAACTCAATTTCGTGCTCATTCACCGCTTGTGGCGGCGGTACTACCGGTGCCGAAACGGGTGCATAGCCCATGTAGTCGTATGTATTCGCATTAGGCATAACATTACCCAGATTCGGTGGCTGCAATTCTAGTTGTTGATATTGTGGCTGGTATTGTTGTGTTTGTTGCATGGATTCATAGATGATTGTGCTAGCATCGTAAGGAGCTGGTGGAGTCACAGTTGTGATGCCACCACTGGCATTAGAATTCTTAAAACGACCCGTCATTGCGTTTAAATATTCCGGCATTGTTTCTTATATGATTAACAATTTTGTTGGAGTAGGTAAAGTTAATGCTTTATAAATATTTTAATGTTAAGCTGCAATAAAGGAACAATGAAAGTTGACAATTTAAAAAAAAATGCATTGAACGTTTTTGTTGTTTTGTTTCTTGTTAGGTTGCAGATGTTAAAAAGGTTTATAATACCTTAACTAGCAGTGGAGATTGCTCTTACTTTTAAAGCCTTAAATTAATTTTCAAATTATAAATGTAATTTCTAGCTTTAAGCTAAAGTACAAACAAAAGACAATTTTTCTGTTATTGTTCCCAGTAAATGCGTTTTTGTATAACTATTTATTTTAGCATCGTTTTTTTGGATAAGTTTCTTTTTCACATTGGTTGTTATTTCATAGAATTTAATTATTTTAGAATTTCACTTTGTGATAAATAAATAATTGAATCTATTGTAAGCCTGCCGTATAGTAATCACGCGAATAGCCAAGACAATTTAATTACGCAAACGTTTCTTTATCTCATCTCCCAACTCAGTCAATGGTACGTCCTCCTCCTTCCGCGTATTCACTTCACGTAGCTTCACAATGCCTTTCGTTAATTCTGAATCGCCAAACACAACGGCCAATGGTATTTGATTCTCCTCACAGTATTGTAGTTGCGCCAGTAACTTTGGATTCAGTTTGTATGAGTGTTCAGCCTTTAAATAGAAAAAAAAACATCATATTGAGGTCCAAATACCACTAAAAATTTAACACTCACCTTAATTCCCTGCTCCCACAGGGTGTTCAAGATGGACAAACGCTTTTCATGTAAACCTTTATGAGCAGAAGCCACATAGACTTCCACCTCGTTGGTTCGCGTCTTTACACCGGCTGCAGCATTTTTGGCTTCCAATACAGAAAAAATACGTTCCACACCAATAGAGACACCCACACAAGGAACCTGTTTGCCCCTTGCATCAAACATACCGACCAGATTGTCGTAGCGACCACCGCCAGCAACAGAGCCAACCGCACCTTGCTCCTCCGCACCGTCAGCGCCGTTTTGCACTATCTTCGGCTCAGCTTGTAGCACACATTCATAAATTACGCCTGTATAGTAGTCAAGTCCACGTGCAAGGCTTAAGTCGAAGCTTATTTTCCCCGACAGCCCCATGGCAGCGCTGTACTTGAGTAAAAGCTGCATACCCTCTAAACCTTTAACCGCGCTGGGTACTGCTTTCAATTTTTCGTCAGCAAGCAATTGTTCGCAAAGCTCAGAGCCACCACTGAGGCGCACATATTCACCAATTTTATCCGCAGCAGCAGGATCCAGTCCCTTCTCTTCGATCATCTCCTTACGCACATCAGACCAGGGAGACTATTATTTAAAGCGAATGAAATTTAAATAAATACATATTAACATGTTAAATGTCACTACCGTGTGCCATATTACCTTGTCTAATTTATCAACAGCCGAGCAAATGGTGCGAAACTTATCGACGGGCACTCCACAAGCCTCAAACATTCCATCCAACAATTGTCTGTGATTGATTTTAATCACATATTCACCAATGTCTAGTGTGTCCAGCACTTCCGCAACAATTTTTACGCACTCGGCATCGGGCAGCATGTGGTCAAATGTACCGGCAATATCGAAATCGCACTGGTAGAACTCACGATAACGGCCACGTGTCATAGCGGGATTATCACGTCGATACACTTTGGCGATGTGGTAACGCTTTAGGGTGGATATTTTGCTCATCGCTAGGTAACGTGCCAGTGGAACAGTTAGATCATAGCGCAGCGATAAAATTTCGCCACCTTGATCTTTGAGATCGTAGATCAGTTTTGAATCTTCGCCATATTTGCCAGTGAGTACCTCCTAAAGTAATTAAAGGAAATAGGTTATGAGATTTTTTTTTTTTAACATGAGCCTTTCTACACACCTTCAGCTCAAAGACCGGGGTATCAATCGCTTCGCCACCATGCTTCTTGAAAACAGCAATGATCTTATCCAGCACACCTTGACGCAACATCATCTGCTGGGGCGAATAATCACGCGTGCCCTTAGGCGTTTTAAGCGTAAACTTTTGTGGCGTTGTTGGACCATCGCCGAGTTTCGCCTTCAAGGCCAATAAGTGTGCAACCTCTTCATCGATCTGCAAATATAATAAAATACCACACATTTTTTAAGCAAATCAAAAGCAATTATTTAGCAAGTACTAAAGCTAACCTGTGCCAGTTGTTGTGCTAGCAGAGATGCTTCATCATCAGTCTCATTATTGCTGTTGATTGTGTGGCTGTTCTTTTTTCTATGCGAAATATCTTTTGTTGTAGCACTTTCGAATTGCCCCACCTTGTGGCTGGTGGCGCAGTGACGACACTGTTGCTGACCTGCGAACCCGAATTTAAGCTCGTCACTCAGCGTGTTACGCACAAGTGCGGACCGAGCAGTTAATGGCCGGCCTTTTGTATGTCCAATAAAATAAGCGCTTTGACGGCCAATCGAACGCAACATTTTTCTTCTTCTTTTGATAAAATAACGATTCGAATGTCTTTGCAAGTTTTTTTTTTTATTATGTTACTGAAAGCTCACTTTCAGCGTAACCAATCATGTATCGAGATTAATTTCAAATAATTTAAAAGTACGCGCCGATTTGTTCAAACCTAAACAACAACAATAATGATACTGATTAGAAAAAAATGTATCCGAGTGAAAAAAATCATACATATTCTAGGTAAAACATTTGCGATTTGCAAAGTTAATATTTAGATTTGTTAATAAATTGACGCGCACAAATAACAATAAAGAGTTTTAACAAACATAATTAGGAAAATTATTTAATAAGAGAAAATGAGGAACTGCTAGGCATGGGGTTAATACATACATATGTAGATCCAAATATGAATTAAATGAGGAGATATTTCAGATTTACTTTAGAAAACATAAGAATAAATATAGAAAATGAATGATGCGATGTCGAGATTTTGCATTCTGAGGGCGATGTTTTGGCGTAATATTTATGACTTTCCACAAAATCTGAAATTCATATTGAAGTGTTGGATCGGTGCAGTATGTGTGAATGAGTTAGTTGTCTATAAATGAGTGATGAAATAGATTTGCTTAGTTTGCAAAACTAATGACTACGAATGATTTTTTTTTTTCATACATGTACATACATACATATGTATGTAGATTTGAAATGATTTTGAAAAAATATTGCATTCCATCGGCCACAAATTGATGCGCTGCAACACTTTAATTTTTGAATATTTACAGCTTCTATGATGTTTAATATTTTTAAATGTGCTATTTTAATTTTAATTTTCATATTTCATAATTTATTTGCATATGAGTATTAAGTATACTTAAAAAATACACAGTGGGAAAAGTAGTAATGCGTTACATGCGTGATAAATAATGTAATGTGTTTCTTATGAGTTCTAGATTCTATTACTGTTTAATATGTAAGCAGCGTTCTAATGCATCCAAACAGTCGCTGCATTACTGGTAATGAAAAATTAAATGCCCTACTTTTCCTAGGACATCGACGCACAGTACGGCCGAATTCCACAAGTGCGGCCAAAATTCGAGAAAATAAAGTTTCTAGGCCGTTTTTGACATTGAGTTGACTAAAGGGATCACCTAAGAAGCGAAAACTGTTCACTGTAACGACCTGTACCGTAAGTCCTCTCTTTATATTCATTTCTAGTGACACCTTTTCCCAAGCACAACATTATTGTAATAAAAAGCGAAAAGTTATTAACATATAAAAGTAGTTAGAGAATAGGAAACCAAATAAAACCAAATGGATTCTACGTCTGAAGGTTAATAAAATACGTTACAAAATTTGTGAAAAAAGTACTGTAACAGAAATTTAAAAAAATAAAAATGTAAATGTATTTTTTTCGTTTGTTTTTAAACAAAATTTGAGTTGTTAAATGCAACAGTAGCAACACGCCGTTGGATGCTGCCTTTAAACCTATTGGAGGTTACAGTTATAGAATAAAACAAAACTCAGATGCTCATTTCTGCTCCTTATATATTTTTGTTATTTTTTTAACACGCTTATACATATTAGCTCGACCTCCATGTAAAAATTTCAAGCTTTTTAATTAGATTTCACAGAAAGATGTTGAGTATGCAATTTTGTGGCCCATTTAATTTAAGTATAACAAAGTGCAAGTTTAAAGAAGCTGGAACTTACGGTTGATTTTTCGATTTTTTTTATTTTTTTTGTTGAAGGTGTTGCTCATTTTCTTCATATCATCGAACATACTTCGTATGGAAGAAAACAACTGGCACTGTCAACAAAAACATTCTCAAAAATCAACGGTAAGTTCTAGCTACCTCAAACTTGCACTAAAATTGACTGGGCTATAAAACTGCATACTCAAAACCTCTCTAAGAATTCTAATTAAAAAGCCCGAAATTTACCAGACGCCTTTTATATGATACTTAATACATACTACTACATTAGCGTCCTCGAAAACCCCCTAGTACGAAATTTTGAATCAGTTCTTTAAACCTTAGAATTTTTGCCGCACTTTTGAATTTCGGCCGCACTGTGCTACGTGGGAAAAATAATGCATTTTCGAACGTGAAAACAGCTGTTTCACTGATTATTTTTTCGATTACTATACATTACATTTTCCCACTGGGTAGTTACATATATAAACATTTACATACATACACATATGTTTTCAGAGGACGTGTTAAGCGAATTTTCGTAAAGGAAAGTTAATGTATCGTAGTATTTACATGTTATACAAGATACACTATAATTACAAAGGTTCTATTAAAGTAAGAAGAGCCTAACTTGTATTAATAGTATGCAGTTATATTTTGGCGCTTAAACTTTTGTTAAGTGTATCTTTCTAATTTATAAATAGACATGTTGCTCGCACCAGGGATCGAACCCAGGTTCTACGGAGGGGTAGTACGCACCTCTAATCACTCAGGCACAACGGCGGAGAGAGCCTAACTTGAAGGCCTGATAAAAAACAGTGTGGCCAGTAAAAAGGTTTTTGTTCTCAGCCCAAACCGTAAAAAGGTTTTGGTGCATTTTGGGTGAATTTTTAACAAGAATCCGTCATATTCGAC